GGGAATCATGGCATATTAAAACGGAGAAGGAAAAGGCGGACAGAGACGAGTAGAAGGAGGAGGGAGTGAAGGATGCGTAGGAGAGGGATGATAAATGAAGAAGAAGAAGAAGAAGAAGAAGAAGAAGAAGAAGAAGAAGAAGAAGAAGAAGAAGAAGAAGAAGAGGAAGAGGAGGAAGAGGAAGAGGAGGAGAAGGAAGAGGAGGAGGAAGAGAAATGTTGACGTATGAAGATGGAAAAAGAAAGAGGTAGAGGAAAGAGGATGCGGACACAAACGGGGAGGTGGAGGAAGGAGTGAAGGAAGGAGTGAAGGAAGAGTAGGAGAAGGAGAAATAATGTTGACGTATGAAATAAAGAAGGAACAGGAACGGAAGAGGAGGAAGGAAGAGGCGGAAAACGACGAGGAGGAGGAGGAGAAGGAGGAGAGGGAGGAGTAGGAAAAGGGAGGTGAAGGAGGAAAGGTGTAGAAGGAGAGGAGAGGCGGAGAAGGAGAGAAGGAGAAACGTACTTACTATTTTTGTCAATGAGCTTATTTGATCGCTTATGCTTACGTCTTCATTGCTAAAAAAAAGACTGAAAAAAGAACACGAAAAACCTTACTGAAGTTGCAGTAACCGTGTCTAGATCTACATCACGTCTTTATTGAGAGGTTGTTTATTTTTTTGGTACTAATTGTTGCCTTTTCTTTTTATTTAATTATGGTAAACAATGACTCACTGGCTCCTCGCTTTGGTTAGATATACATGTACTAAAGATGGTTTGTTGAGAAAATAATATGATCTAAACCACCATGACTATGACTTTATTAACTGCGTTGTCGATAACTCTGATGGAATGTCACGAACAAAATTTAAATGCTTTTTTATGGTTGCCAGTTATAGAACGTGTTTCAAAAATACCGATGCTTCGGTGTTTCGTTAATTAGGGTGACGCATTCTTTTCTTCTCTGGCACTTAAAAGTCATTTGGTTATGATAGTGACGATGAATTAATGAAGCTTTTGAAAATAAAAACTGAAAGCTTAGTGCGGAGGGGGGGGGGAGAGAATTTTCTTTCGCTCTCTCTCTCTCCCTCTCTCTCTCTCTCTCTCTTTCTCTCTCTCTCTCTCTCTCTCTCTCTCTCTCTCTCTCTC